ACTTCTCTCCTTTACATACTCTATTCTTGGAAAGTATGACTTAAGTGTTAAAAGGATCATTTTGATTCCTATCTTGAGAATAGATTAGATGCAGGAAGAAGAACTGAGAGGTTGATGCTGTAAATAAGGAAGGAGTACTGTTGTGTGGAGGAGACTGTCTAGAATGACCCTCCACAGAAACAGCCATCATGACTCATGTTCCACAGGCTCAAGACCAGAAATTTAGTGATGGTGATTCGGTGGGGGAGAAGGAAAGATGTTTGCCAATTTGATTTAAAAAAAAAAAATCACTTGAATCACTGTTGTAAATTAAAAAAGACAAACTTACATTAACAAGGAGTCCCTTAATGCTTGAGTACTTGACTACTAGCCAAAAGATTGGCGATTTAAACCCACGCAGAGGTGCTGTGGAAGGCAGGCCTGGTGATCTGCTTCCAAAAGGTCACAGCCTTGAAAACCCTACAAAGCAGTTCTACTCTGCACTCATGGGATCACCATAAGTCGGAATCAAGACGGTGGCAACTAGCCAACAACAACATTACATTAACAATGAGAAATAGGACTGGAGAAATAACATGCATTCCCCAGGAATGCTGTCAGAGAGATTCTCTAAAGCAGCAGTTGTCAAGACTGAGAGCCTTTCAGTGGATCCACAAGGTCAAACGATTTTCATAATAAGACATTATTTGCTTTTCTCACCATGTTGATATTTGCACTGACGGTGCAAAAGCAATGATGAGTAAAACTGTTGGCTCCTTAATACAAAGCAAGGCAGTAGCACCAAACGGTTCTTGAAGCCATTGTCTTCTTCACTACATACCAGTATTAAAAGAAAGTGCCATTTTCATTGAAGACTATCTTTGATGAAACAGTAAAAATTATTAATTTTGTTAAATCTTAACCCTCAGGAACAGTGTTCTGGAATATTTTCTTTGACAAAATTGGAAGAACACTTTTGGGACATGCTTCAATAGAATGATTGTCTTGAGGAAAAACACTCGTGTGAGTGCTTGAGTTGTGAGTGGAATAAGCCACTTTTTTCACGGTATACCATTTTTACTTGACAGAATTACCAATAGACAAACTGTGGTTATTCAGACTGTTTGGCAGACATTGTCTTAAACATGGAGGAAGTAAGACTGTCACTTCAAGGAAAACAACTGTCGGTATTTATTGCCAATAATAAAATTTGAGCTTTCAAGTGAAAATTGGAATATTTGAAAACTTGTGTCCAATGCTTAAAACATGTTTTTCTTTTTTTTCTGGTGAAATTAGTGGTGATAGTAATGAATGTGATTTATAAGATAGTTTATAATGGAATGTATCAACATTTGGAAACTCTGTTCAAATCAGGGAATCAAGCTTTCCAAAAGAAGAGTGAATTATTTTAAAAAAAAATCATATATTGGTAAAAGACAATTCGAAGTCCAAGATAGGTGAATAGATTTTAATGTAATAACATACAAGGCCTATTGATATGGTTTCAGATTCCATATTGCAACTAATCTTTAAGAAACTACTACTTGTATAGTTTTCATGGCACATCAAAGAAAAATATACAAAATAATTGGAAAAGGCTACTATAATACTCTTTCCTTTTCTATCTACATATCTGTGTGGCTGCATTTTTATTCCTATATTTCAGCCAAAACACTATATTGCAACAGACTGAACGCAGAAGTAGATATTAGAATCTAGCCCTTTTCTTTTCAGCCAGACATGAAAGAGAGTTGCAAAAATGTAAAACAATGAAATTTAAAGTAATTTTTGTTTGGAAATTATTTTATTTTTCATAAAATATGCTATTTGTGTTAAGATACAATAGGTTTATTATTTGTTATTTTAAAATGAATTAATAAATATAGACTTTAAATTTTTTTTATTTTAATTTCGAACACGGAGAGTATCAAGAGATACAACTCCATGAACCAAAAAGCCAAAAACAAAACCAATTGTCGTGGAGCAGTTTCCGACTTCTAGCAACCCTATAGGAAAAGTAGAACTGCCTCATGGGGTTTCAAGGAGCGACTGGTGGATTCAAACTGCCAACCCTTTTGGTTAGTAGCTGAGCTCTTAACCAGTGCAGCACCAGGGCTCCACATGAACAAAAGTTCTTGGGAATTCTCAAGCATGTAAAGGGATACTAGCCCAAACATCTGAGAATCACTGCTCCAAAGCACAGTTATGAGCAGGGCACTTCCTTCTATATAAGTATTTGGTTATTTTTAGGTTTTCTAAGCAATGGAAAAAATTCATTTTAAAAAACAGCGAATTCAGGTGGCCAGTGTGAGAGCTGAACGGGACAGTTTTGAGAAAGAGATTTTCAACAGCTGCCACAGGATTGTGGAACCGATTTGCCACATGCCAAGTCAGCGGCCCCACTCTGTGATTCTTTTGCTGACTGCCTCACCTGTGCTCGGCACTGTGCAAGGCTGGGCAGTGTCATGGATTGAATTGTGTCCCCCAAAAATATGTATCAATTTGGCTTGGTCATGATTCACAGTATTATATGATTGTGTACCATTTTGTAATCTAATGTGATTTCCTTATGTGTTGTAAACTCTATCACTATGATGTAATAAGATGGATTAGCAGCAGTTATACTGATGAGGTCTACAAGATTGGATAGTGTCTTAAGCCAATCTCTTCTGAAATATAAAAGAGAGAAGTGAGCAGAGATGCACGGGAACCTCATACCACCAAGAAAGCAGTGACGGGAGCAGAGCGCGTCTTTTGGACCTGAGGTTCCTGTGTAGAGAAGCTCCCAGACTAAGGGAAGATTGATGACATGGACCTTCCTCCACAGCAGACAAAGAAAACGTTCCCTTGGAGCTGATGCCTTGAATTTGGACTTGTAGCCTACTGGACTGTGAGAGAATAAACTTCTCTTTGTTGAAGTAAAAAAAATACTAATAAAAAATAAAAAGAGCAACTGATATGAATATAAAAAATAAAAATGTGAATATAAAAAATTAAAAATGTCTAAGTCTCAAAAACAAAAAAATAATTATTTGGCAAAATGACTAATTGGAAAATTGTTACAACAAATATTAGAGACAAGATATTAATATCCTTTATATAACAATACTTACTATTCTTAGAGTCAATTCTCAATTTTGTAAAATATTCTCTTTGTCTGTCTTTCTCTTTCCCTAGTGAAAATATACTAATACTTAACAGTGGTTGTCTGTAGTGAGAATAGGACACTTTTAATGATTTTATATTATTTTTTCTAATCTATGTTACTCAAATTTCTACTTTTTATGTCAGGGGAAAATGATAAAAATGTTTAAAGGTCAGGTATTTTGAAAATTATTTTAAACTGATAGTTCACTTATACTGATATTCTTTACTGTGCAGAACCAAAAATCATTCATCCTGAACTTTTAAAATTATTTGAATAAAACAGTTTTGTTTAAATGCATTGATACATGGTTTCCTTATGGACATTAGTAATTATAGATGATTTTGATGCTTCCTCCAAGCATTTAGCACTTTTCCAACAATGAAGTATATTATAGCTTACTGTTAAAAAGCAGAGCTCCAGTTGTTAGTGTATTTATAGGTGTCTTTGATTATTAGCACTTGTGATTTTAAAATAAGAACTTTTGATAAGAGAAAAATGAAAAAACATTGGTTTAAATAAGTTTAGGTAATGGATTTTATTTAAGTCATTCTTTCCTTAACAGCCCTCTATTATTAAGACAAATCAAGAATTGTTAACATTTGATTGCACATGATTTGAGAGATTGGTCCAATAATTTAAATTGTAGACCAATTTGAGTTCAGTTTGTTGTGTTGTTTATTATGTTCATTTTTATTTCAGTGCAGATGATAAATGAAAGGGAAGATTTTATATTAATTTTTAAAATTCTATTTTATTTACATGTTAGCATTTCAACCTTCTCATAATTTTTGACAATTAAAATCTTGAAAGGTGACTTAAGATGAAAAAATAAAACTTCCTATTTTATGTCTTCTCTGCAATGAAACCAGATTGCAACATCTTCACTCTTGCAAACAGAAAAGTTTCAAACTGGAGGCACACATGTCAGACTTAAGAATGACAGGGCCAGTGTGCACTCCCAGGAAGCAAAAGGTCAGGATGTACACAACTGGTTCATGGGAAGAATGTGTCAAGATGTAAACAATCTGTTCCCAGGAAAAACGTGTTCAGAACTGCGGTCATGTATAACCAAACCAGCCAGAGCCACTCAACTAGGTGGTAACTCATTGTCTCCTAGCCAAGTGGCTGACCTTTACATTTCAAAGGACTTCAAGCTGAAGTTGATCTTATCTATAATTAATCACTAACCCCCACCCTTCCTTTGTTCTCTATATATACAGACCCCTCTCTCCACTTGAACAGTGGAGTACTTTGTATTTTTACTTAGCGCTGCCCAGCTTGAGTTGTATTATTCCTCAATAAACTCCTTTGCTTTCATTCTTAACAGAGTACAAGATTTTCTTCTTTGACACTCTACAAACCATCAAGTTGGTCAACAGTACTCCTGAGCTATAGTTTTAAAAATGTCAGTTGACGTACAGTGTTCATTTCTTTTATTTCTCCTAGAAAACAGAGTAATTAACCAAATTTAACCAAATTCAACCTCTCTCTGCCCCAGTTCATGAGTGTATAAAAATACATACTTTTGGAGAACCTGAAATGAATGCATTTACCACCATTCTCTGCCATCTTTAAGTATTCTGGTACCTTTTGAAAAATTAAATGGTGCATTTACTAACACATTCCCATTGCCATCCAGTCAGTTCTGACTCATGGCGACCCTATAGGGCAGAGTAGAACTGCCCCATAGGGTTTCCAAGGCTGTAATCTTTAGGGAAGCAGACTGCCACAACTTTCTCCCACAGAGATGCTGGTGGATTCTAACCTTTCTGAAACTTTTGGTTAGCAGTTGAATGCTTAACCACTGCGTCACCAAGACTCCTTCAGTTTACTAACAGTACCCTCAATTCTGAATCTTTTCTTACCTGTTTAGAAGCCTGAAAAAAATGATTGTACTTCTAGTGACTGCGCCTAGAAAATCACCTTACGAGAGCTGTCTTCAGAAAGTTTTGTTTGTTATGCCTAACACCTGAGAGAATACTCTGATAGGTAAGTGATTAAACTTACAATCACTAAATTGCTTTTCCTGTGAGTTACACAATCACTAGTCTTTCTGTATTTCCATTTTTACAGAACAGCAAGAGATTCCATTTTTATCATAGCATTCCTTCACTCTGAGCCAGGAAAGATTCTTATCCGTAGAACTAGCTCTTTTAATGCCGAAATCCAGCCTCAGTTTCTTCCCTTTGTTTCCCATTGTTCTTCCATTTCTCACCTGCTTTTGGATGGCTTTCACTTTGTTTGCACCAGGAGTCATCTCTTTATCTGGGAAGGCTGCCTCAAAATAGATTACCATTAGATCAGAAGTCACAAGCCGCCTTTAACTTTAGTTGCAGCTTTCTTAGCTAAGCCCATTGAACAGTTGTTCACATTTGTTGAAGAGCAAGTTGGGCAACACTGTAGAAAGGATTATTTCGGTTATTATTTTAACTCAACCCTTGATGGCTATTCTCCTCAAAGTAGAAATCTTAAGACAGCTGAAGGGAGGTTGTTCTTTTTCCTTTTTTCTTACTATCTGGTTTGGTCAATTTGTCCACCCTCATAAAGGTACTGAAGAAGTCTAATTTTCATGTTTATTTCTCCCAAATGGAATAAAACTTTTTGTAGGCCTTCATTCGACTTTGCTCCTACATACATTTTTATTTTAATCAAAAGCTTTCTTGGAGTGAATGAAGGCCACCTACGGAGCTAGTTTATGTCTTCAAAAGCTTTGTTTATCACCCAGAATGATAGTCTATCAGAGAGGATTCATTTTGGTTCAAGGACAAATTATTGTCTTGATTGGGCTTATACATCAAAGGAAAGAATTAAAGGGTTCTGATGAAAACTTTCCACCTGACACACAGGTGGCTAAAAGTATGTGCTATCCTTTCTTGGGTCCTTTTGTCACCTTTCTTAGCTTTCTTGTTTTGAAACATGATAATGGCAGTATTTGAGTTTTCTGGGGATTTTTGTTCTATATTGCATGCTGTGAAAGGATTTTTCTAGGTTCTGCTTCTGGGCTCCCTCTGATCTTGTGATGTTAAACACACTGCTGTCTTCCCTCGGCATTACTCTCATCATTTTCTTCTCCACTCGCTCCACTTCTGTCCTGTGTATGTGGGAGGGGGCTGTACAGAAGATGTGAGAGGAAATTTAGTAGAATGGCAGAGTAGGGGGATGTCAGGGAATCACACTGCTGAAAAAAGGCCTCCGCAACTTCTAAAAGAAAAAAGGATAGGCTGTACTGGTCTTTGCATTATTTTTTTTTTCAACATAACCACAAAAGTTAACTTTCTCCCAATGAAGCTTTTGAAAAAGAAACACCGTCGTTTATCTTTGAATTTTGATACCATCAGGTTCCTAGAGTTATGTCTCAAATTCATGAAAATTCATGGTTTGTTTTCAAAACAGTAGAGAATGATTTATGCAACTCAAATCCCATATTTTCTGGTCAGACCAGTGTCATTTTAACCTTGAAGAACTGTGCAGATTGTAATGAAAATAAATACTTCACTAAAGCATGACATCATATCTTGATTCATTTTGCATTGTGTGTGTTTAAGGAAATACTAGAACTTCCTTGTGATAGTTTTAATACCTTGGGAAATATGTTGACTTTTGCTTTCCGTCTTGCCCCAGGGTCATGTTTGCAAATTCCACTCCCTATTAGAACCAGATCCAGTCCATCAACAACAACAAAGAAAAAGAATGTGGAGTTTGTTTTTTGGACGTAGATATGACTTTCTAAGCACATTCCTTATGCCAGTCATTTTGGTGAGAAATATACACACAAATGAACATAAAGGGAAGTAAAATGTTGACAAACATACTAAATAGTAACTTAATGTGGATCCAATTTCTTGCATGTAGGATCTTTCTACTATCACTTTCTGCTATTCATGGCTGCAGTTTATCCTTCCTTTAATAGCATTTTCTGGAATGATGGAATGGGGTTATGTAATTAAAACAATCTGCATGTGCTAGCATAAATTTGATTGTTCTGCATGCTAGCAATAAAGTTAATAATAACCAGGATAAGCTTTGATGGTAAAAAATAAAATAAAATAAAATCAGGCTTTGGGAGGCTATATACTTCACACTTTATAGTCATCAGAGCCCCGGTAGTGCAATGGTTAAAGCACTGGCTGCTAACAAAGGGTCGGTGGTTCGGACCCACTAGTCACTCCATGAGAGAAAGATGTGACAGTCAGCCTCCGTAAAATTTATAGCCTTGGAAACCCTATGGGACAGTTCTACCCTGTCCTATAGGGTCACTATGAGTCAAAATTGACTTGACTGTAGTGGATTTGGTTTTGGTTTGGTTTATAATCATCAGAAACATTTTACATTCATTAAAAAACTTAGCAAAGTTCCTGGTACCTAGTAGGAGATAGGTATAGATACAGACAGATCGGTTTTGTTGAATGAATCAGTGAGGGATAGTACCAAGCAAATTAACCCCAACAACTCTTCCTTCAGAGATTTACATTCTAAGGGATGCAATGCTTAAAAATAAACACATTATTTTATCCCCCCCCCTTATTTCTTCCCCCAAGTCATAGCAAATTATTATATGGATAATAAAACATCCCTTTTTTGTTTTATTTATTTATTTATTCTTATTTTCTTTAAACCACATACCCTACTCTCATCCTTGCCTTGTCAACCGTCTTAATACATATACATATAGTTTGCATAAAGTCCTGTTAAATATGTCTTATTAGTTTTTTTGTACATAGAGTTTTTAATTTTAGGAAAGAATGTTATTATCTACATATTTCCCACTCATATAAAACTTTAAGATCCATTTATGCTGCTTTAGGAGCCCTAGTGGCACAGTAGTTAAGAGCTCAGCTGCTAACCAAAAGGTTGGCAGCTCAAATTCACTACTCACTCCTTGGAAACCCTGTGAGGCAGTTCTACTCTGTCCTGTAGGGTCGCTACGAGTCAGAATCGATTCAATAGCAATGGGTTTGTTTTTTTTTTTTTTTTTTGGTTTTATGTTGGTTTATGCATATCTAATCCATTGCTTCTGCATACTATTCCTACTAAAATACCAATTATTGGTGGTTCAAATTCACCCAGAGGCATAGAGGAAGAAAGGCCTGGCGATGTACTTTTGTAAGATTACAGTCATTTAAAAACCTGTGGAGCTGTTCTACTCTGAAGCACATTGGGGTCACCATGAGTCAGAATTGTCTCTATAGCAGTGGGTTTGGTTTCTTTAGTTAACATTCTATCTAATTTACTATGCTTGCTGTCCTTCTTTTCTTTCCAGAATATACTCCCAACAAAGGCATCTGAAGTGCCTGAGCGCAAAACTTGGCACGTAACAGATAACTCCATGAATAAATTCTTTCTTTCTTCCAAATGGAATAACTTCAGTTCTTTCTACTCTTTCTGTTAAATAACTTTGTCATTTTTACCAGAACTCAGCGTCGTAAAGAATTTTATTTCTTTAACTTTTTTATGTTTTCTCAAAGTAATCTTATTGATGCAGCAGTTCTTGATGCTAAGATTTTTATCATTTTGTATTTGCATTTTATATAATCCTCTGACTTACTTGTCCAAATGACATGTGTCAAAGAAGTGCTCACCAGCCACTCACACCTGTCCTGTTCATGCTTGATGACTTGCCTTATTTTGTCTGGTTCACTTCCTAAGTCCTTGAGAAATTTGGCAGCACCCCTTCCAGTGGTGTGAAGGCAGTTGCTATGGGCTTGCTGATGGTGTGACGATTCCCTCCGGTCTTATAGCTTTCATGAGACTTAAAATAAAAGGCTGAATTATTCCCTATACCTGGCAGTCTTTATTGCTGCACTTTATCAACTCAATCCTTCTAAATCATTAATTTATTTTACTTACATGCCTACACAGGCATGGTGACAAGAAATCTGCAAAAATGCCACACACACACAAAAGTGCCTTCTTTATTGCTTCCCTGGCATTTGTATGGAACAGAAGACTTTTCCTGTAAATTCACTTACATTTTCCTATAAAACAAAGGCCTGGTCTCCTAAATTTGAAAATGGAAAAAAAAATTACTCTTATAAAAAAATGTTTTTAAATATGTAGAGGGCCTTGAATGATCACCACGTGTCTCGGGTGTTTCACACAATCAGTAGATGAAGAGAGGCCCAAGAACAATTCTATGACCTCCCAGTTCCTTCTTAGATCCAGGCCACTGCTTCTATTCTTTCTAGAAAATTCAGTATCCTAGCTTTCCTTGATATCTTGCTACACCTATCTTCCTAAAAGTATCATGTTCTGTGTATATTGAATTTTGAACTTCAGATCAAGTAGGAAAATTAGAGATTACCTAGTCTAATTCTCACATCGTACGGTATAAAGAGACTGGGTCAATACTCTTTCCGTACTCTATCACCTTCTTTGTTTGCTTGAAGACATATGGTAAGTGAAAAAAATCTGGTTCAGAATGTTAATGTCAGACGGATTAAATATTATTTTCTTCACTTTCTAAATAAGGCAACTGAGACCTACAGAGTTTGTGAAGCCTCTCCAGTGTTACATAGTTAAATTGCCGATAGAATTCATGCTGCTCAATTCCCCAAGCCGTCCAGTTCATAATTACATAAACAAAACTACTTAACATTAAGCATAATTGCAACTCATCTCAATTAATCTTCCACTCAAATGAATTGTTATTTTATTTATAAATATTTAGAGAATTTTGGGCACTGGTGATAGCCTGAGGTTTGGCTTTCATATTTTGGAGCAAAGTCTATTGTTTAAAGTATAGGCACTGTAATTTTTGGTTGTTCATGAAATATTTATTAATGCTAATGGCAATAAAAATAACGCCACAGTGATTACGCTCTTCGGTCATTAATGCCCTGAAAGAAGTAATTTACAAATTGGTACGCTGTCACTCAAAGTGTTAATTTACCACATGT